CATCATCAACATCAACTTCAACAACAACGTCAACAACAACAGGTGATAAGTGTGGAGTTAAATATTTAATGCTTACGTTAGATGTTGAAAAGAGAAATAGTTTCACGAGATTTTAAAATGTAGTACTTGGTATTTCGAATCATCTCAAATCCGAATAAATAAGACGAGTTTATTGGATAGAAGACTTCTAAAGATGAAAAAATGATTTTCCTAAGCAAGCAAGTTAGTATCTATATACGAAGTTGGAGACAAAAAAATGACTATTTGCCCAATCGACTTTTTTTTATATATCTGATAGCTCTTGTGGATGTGGGTATCAGAATAAGGGTAATGTAATACCCACATTTACACCCATCCGAAAGAATTCAACAATAACTTCTCGTGTCTAAATCATTCAAAATACTAAAAATAATTTTTGTTTTTTATAGCCTGCAACTCTTTTCTTAATCAAAGTACTTACTCAACTGGCGCTAACCCATACTCGGTAGCAGTCGTCGATGTGAATAGCGACAACAAACCTGATATTATCGTTGCAAATTATGGTTCGGGCACCGTCGGTGTTCTTCTTAACACAGGCAGCGGCACCTTTATTGCTCAAACTAATTACTTAGTTGGCACTAATCCATACTCAGTAGCAGTCGTCGATGTGAATAGCGATAATAAATCCGATATTATTGTTGCAAACTATGGTTCGAACACCGTCAGTGTTCTTCTTAACACAGGCAATGGCACCTTTAGTGCTCAAACTACTTACCCAGTTGGTAGCACGCCATACTCAGTAGCAGTCGTCGATGTGAATAGCGACAATAAACCTGACATTGTTGTTGCAAACAATGGTCAGAACACCGTCGGTGTTCTTCGCAACGCAGGCCTCGGCACTTTTAATGCTCAAGTTGCTTATTCAGTTGGCACTTACCCAACATCAGTAGCAGTCGTTGATGTGAATAGCGATGACAAACCCGATATTGTTGTTGCAAACTATGGTTCGGCCACCGTCACTGTTCTTCTTAACACAGGCAGCGGCCTATTTAATACTCAGACTAATTACTCAGTTGGCACTTACCCTCAAGCAGTAGCAGTCGTTGACGTGAATAGCGACAACAAACCTGATATTATCGTTGCAAACTATGGTGCAAACGCCGTCGGTGTCCTTATCAACACAGGCAGTGGCACCTTTGGTAATCAAACTACTTACGGAGTTGGCAGTAGCCCTGAAGCAGTAGCAGTCGTCGATGTGAATAGCGACAACAAACCTGATATTGTTGTTGCCAACTCTGGTCCGAACACCGTCGGTGTTCTTCTCAACAAAGGCAACGGTACCTTTAGTTCTCAAACTGCTTATTCAGTTGGCACTTACCCAACATCAGTAGCAGTCACCGATGTGAATAGCGACAGTAAACCTGATATTATTGTAGCAAATCAAGGTTCGAACACTGCCAGTGTTCTCCTGCATTGTTAAGTCTTATCGATAACTAACATTTATCTATTCATTAACATTTTACTACTCTACTAAAGACATTATGCTTATAAAACATCATACGATACGAACTGCTATTTACGCTCGCTTAATATTATGAACTTCAACAAAACATTGCGATTATGGATTATATTGGGAATACACCCGTATATCCATATATCGGACAGTCATTCATCATTTAATAATAACATTTCTAGTTATGGAATTTTTCTGGAAGCATAGAACTATATGTATTACAATTGCTCAAAGTTCAAAACATTAGTTTTGGACGTGTAAAACAATATAGAAAAGTTTCATAAGTTTAATTATTGCTTTCTGATCTGTTCAAAACCAGATCATCCGCTTTGCTTAATCAATAAAATTCTCGCTTTGAAAATAAATAAAGTACTACTGATTCTTTGTGTGAAAGTATATTTGAAGATATGAGTAGTGTGATGAGAATGATGGTAAAGAAGAAAGACACTCTTACATCCTTCTAAACATCGTTCAACAAAAATTCATATGAAACAGAGATGAGCAAGTGAAGTCAATTCATGGCGTATTTGACTTGCGAAAACGTCTGAATTGCTCGTCTCTAGTATTGGTATAGAAAATGTGTATGGGGTGTTTTATTTACAGATAAAAAAATAAATATTGTAGTTGTAAATGAAAGCTTGTTTTGAAATCAAAGAGTTTCATTACGGAGATATACATGATTGTTTTATGTTTAATCGGAAATGTCAAAATACTTGCAAATAAAAGTAAATACGGTTAATGTTCTGAAATAACTAATCTCGATAATGGGATAAAAATAAATAAATGGGAGTTTTCTATTAGAGGAAATAAAATGACTATAGCTGATGATCAGTCGAATATTGAAAGGACCATTTTTATGAACAAAAGAATCGTTTTTATAAAAGAGGATTTCACAATTTGTATTGACTGATTTTATATCAAGTAAATGAAAATGTAACTTTTGATGAATTACGAAAATATTAGAAAAGGTAGAGTTGTAAATAAATTGCTTTGATGGATAGATTTAGATTAGATGATCTTTTTTTTACTATTCGTATACGCAGTGCTGTTGTACTATATCGTAATGACCCTCTTCTTCTATTCAAAAATATTCTTTTAAACTGAAATTGCTAATTAAAAAAAAATATAAGTTTGTATCACCATTAATAGTTATATCTATAACTATCAGAAGTGACCAATTAGGATACAGTGAGAAAATATAATCAAATAAGAAATATGATTTACTATTAATATGTTGTTTTTATTAAGTATATTTATAAATAATTAAAATAAGATTCGAACGGTGCTGCTTTGAAAACTGTTAGCAGTTATAGAATATATATATAACTGACGTCAGAGAGGCTACCTTTGTGTCTGTTCTATATTCGCTTTGCATTCTATAATCATTTTGTACATTTTCTGACTCATTCGACGTAAGAAAATTAATTTTCACTCATAATTTGATTTTTTAAAGAACATATTAGAAACGTAGCGTCGTCAGAATCAAAGATCTGCCAATTAGAGAGTACAGTGCAAGAAAAAACGAAAATCTAGAAGACCGAGACTAAGACAAGGCCAAAATGAAGACTGTCTCGGTCTCGGTACATCCTTGACCTTCTCTTTTTCAATATTTGCTAATTATTCATAATAATGAAAAAATAAGAGAGGTGCGTGAATACAGATACAACTTGTATCAACATTTTATATATATAGATCTGAACAGACATACATCTGCGTGTATTCTTTTATTGGTATATGTATTGATACATGAGTGGATGTATTGATACATATATAGTCATACATACCTCTGAAAAACCTAGAATTTAAGAATTCATGTAACGATACATGTATTCATTTATCGATACATGAATTCTTAAATTCTAGCTTTTTTGGGGGTATATTTATATGTCGATACATGTATCAATGTATCAATGTATCAATACATGTATTCATGTATCGATACATGTATTCATTTATCGATACATGAATTCTTAAATTCTAGGTTTTTTGGGGGTATATATATATGTCGATACATGAGTACATGTATCAA